CAGGAATGGAAGGACAACTTTGACAACATAATAATCAACCAAACCCAGGAATTTAACGTGGGAAATGTTGGGCACCCTAATTACAGGCACCATTGCTACTTTTGTCTATAATGACAAGTGCAAACAAGCAAGAGAGAATATTTCACGTTGCCTGAAATTATCTTGTCATGCTATTGAGTCAAGAATAAACCTGTGTACCTGTGTGACCCGTGCCTTCTGCTGCTGGTTGTTGGACAGTCTTCTAGATCTTGTCCGTTCCACTTCATGCCTATGAACCCATCCTCGAAGCTCATGATTCAGCCTAGACAAACCCACATCATTAACAGATGTTTCAAACAACAGTAGCAGAAGTTTTTAGTTTTATGAAATGGTTTCATTAGCCACTATAAATTCACTGCAGCTTACTGTTCTTATACCTTACGATAACTTACTTTTAATACAAGAGGAATAAAATACAATTGCAAGATTAAATTTACGAGGAAATTTGCAAAGAGATATCTATAAAGTATTGGATTTGTGGATATTTCAACAGAAAGTAGATACAGTTCTTTCTTTTGCCCAACAAACAGTAATTTTTAAATTACTGGAAGGACTACTGAAACTTAAAATCAAAAGTTGATCAAATCAGGACAAGTTATTGGTTAAGAAGGCTAAATTATGGCAAATAAATCAGAGAGAGAATGGAGATAAGACACACTCATGTCTATGGAAGAAGTGGAGCTAGGTGTTTTCTAGCAGTGAACAAAGCACATCCTCAATGTCAGGATCAGTCTCTATCAGAAACTGAAGAACAGAAGACCTTCTCTTATGGAAAAGATGGAAGAGGCTTTTAGCTGGACTCAATTTCTATATCATGAACATTTCTACATATGAAGTGATTTCTCTTTCCACTCATGAAAAACTTCTAGACAATCAGAAAATTGTTACTCAGTTATTGCAAATGACCAGTGTGAAAACTGAGTGCAAATGATTACTAAACCCATCAAAAGATTACGAAGATCCAAGCTGATCTGTCCTTATGGCAGCAGACATTGGACAGTGCAGACACTTACAGAGACACTGGTCACATACTGGATGAACACTGTGAATGGACATCATTCACAGCTGTCTGTCCAGCAGCTCTCAGCCAACACAGAAATTATATCAGAACTCCTAATACACCTTCAATGCTCAGCAAAGGTTGTTTGCTCACCTCAGCGACTCTGTGCGGTTGATCAGAGGCCGACAGGGTGGGGGTGGGGGTGAAATATATAACAGTGGTTCTTCTGAGACTATCATCAGTGCTTTGTTATCAGATACAGAATGGTCGTACCTGGGAAAATACAGAAAAAGACATCAAGAAATCCCTTAAAATATTTTTTCGTGAATCTTTAACCAAATCCAGAGAATGAGCACTAACATCAGCTGACCCACAAATGTTACAGCTGCTTCCATGGGACCTTTGAAACAGGTGAATAACAATTTCTGTGAAACATCCAATGCTCTCAGTCAATTCCTCAAAGGGGTTTGACAGCATTCAATGCAGGAAAGACAGATGAGCATTAGCAGATGTTGGATCTCTTCCCAAAAAAGCCCAGATATTGAAAGAAAATGTAGCCTGTAAAATATTCCTCATAGTATGTAAACTATGTGATCTCTGCAGAGCCAACTTTCTCTCTCATTCCAGAGCAGTGCAAGATTTGCTACAGAAATAAATTTATTAGCCACTAAAACCCTGCAGAAATAAAGAACATGACCTGTACGACCATGGAGTAGCCACAAACTATCTTACAACTGAGTGGAGAGGATTTACAAATCCAGCTGTCTCCAGCATCTACCTCGGTTTTGATGAACAGTGATACAGAGCATGTATTTCTCAGTATAGAAATCCATAACACACTCAGCGCCACCTGAGGGGTTAATTACCTATCACTAAATACCTTTAAGTTTCTCTCTTGGTAGGTTAGATAGCTAACAGCCTTAGTCCTCTCATTTTTGACAGACTTGTAGCTCCTAAACCTCAACATCTTTATGAAAAATCAGGTGTAAGAGCTTATGGAGCCTTAATTCACATTCCCCTCCTTTTCCCAGCTTTCTCTCCACCTTCATGTCTGCTTCTCCTGTTCACTGCATCTAAAACTAATAAAGGAGAATATGCAGCAAAGAGCTCACAGGTTGCCAAAACCAGGGTGAAACAGTCAAAGAAAAGGAGGAGGTACAGGCACTAGTATATCCTCCTAAGAGGACCACTCTACTCTTACACCGCATAAGTCATGGCCTGAAACCTACCACATAGGACACAAAGCCTCACCATGGCTACAGCCTTAAAATGCTCTTGATTTATTGCCTTCTTTCTGCATGGCAAAATACATTAGGGCTTTCTGCACATCTGTGCCTGGCTTTGTTCAACCAGCCAAAACACTCTACTGGAAAGGGACAGTCTAATAGGATAAATCTTGTAAGGGGAAAACATGAGCTGTATTAGCCAGACTTCAATCTGGAGATAATTATATGTTCACTTATGCACTGCATGCTAGAGATCTAGGAAGCCTGAAAGCCAGTATTTAATTAAATAATGGATAATCACAAGGATGGACTCAGAGTTTCTAAAAAAGTACAGTGTTAAGTTCAGAGTGTGTTCTTAATCGTGAACTTCTCCAGTCTTCTCTTGAGCACCTAAGGAAATAAATACTCCAGCCTGAAAAGTAAGAAGAGAGAGATAATATGCCAAATATCACAACTATGCAAACTAAAATATAGATCAGAGGAAAAAAGCAGACAGATGGAGAACTGAAGAAGGTCATGAAAATCTCCATGACATACACTTGTTTGTATGCTCTTCTCTAACATCATGCAGCACAGCCACGTGTACACTTCTGAAACTCTACCTATTGGGTAATCTTGGAAGACAAAACACCATATTCATTGGAAAAGCAACCTGGTAAATTCTGTTAAATAATAAAAGATCAGCTTTCAAAACACTGCTTGTAAACTCAGCTGCTCTATAAAAGCAGCAACAGCACAGGCCAAAAAAGGTTAGCAGGGCAGGGAGGGCTAAAAGCACCACTGTCCACTGCCACCCAAAACAGTTAGAGGTTTTCATCTCACCTATTACTCTTCTCGGGAATGATGCCCCCAGGTATTTTCTGAGCTGTGCTGGACTCCTGGCTAGCTGAGAACTCCAGAAGGTTTCTGGTCCGGTGGTTGGAACTTGCAGCAGAATCAACTCCACTGGGATCCTTTTCGAATATGCTGGAAAACATAATAAACATAGCAAAATGTATCACATACATAAAGGGGCTGCAAGGCACTTTACTGTAAGGTGTTAAATACTCAGGTGGAGAAGTTTCTGGCTGCTGTTATGTTACAGGGATAAGGTTCATGTGATGTCCTGTGTCATTATAATATTGTCATTCAAAGTTTTAGTAGACAGAAAAGCATTTCTGTTCTCTATTTCAGTTTTAAATGTTTGAAGGATTTTGATGTGCTGGTTTTCATGTTTCCACACACACACTTCACATGATGAATTCAATATCAATCTGCTCATAACCCAGATCTGCAGGCATAAGATAATTACCTATATTCAAATCAAAGCATCCCCTAAACTTTAACTTTCATCGGCCTCAAAGCACAATTGACATAGTTTATATGAATACAATATGTAAGGAAAACATAACTACCAAATTCCATGCAGATGCAAGCCTGGAATGTTATGCCAGACATGTAACAGAACTGTACACAAACTTGTATGTGTTCAATTCTACTTGGATTTAGAACAACTGGCAGGGCTGACAGATCCATCTACATAGTGGCAGCAGGCTGTGGTCCCAGACACCCTGTTGTTCTGGTCTGTGCTTGCATTAATTGAAGGATCCTTCCCTGGGGGCTCTCATCCAGCCACCCATGCAGCACAGGAAGGTGTGTGCTGCTCTCTGTGCAAAGCAAGGTAGCAGCATTGCACACGTGAGCTGGAAAAATGACCAGACAACTGCTGTACGAGATCAGCTGCATCCCAGCTCAGGAGAGTGATTTACAAGTGAGAAATTTTGAAGCACAGGAGGAATAATTCAGTTTCTCCTCTCCAGAGGCTGGCTACACTCATTTGTAAACATGGTTGCTTCCTGAAATATGCATATTTACAAAACTAAGTCCTACCCTTCTTGGCTGACAACAGCAGAGCATCGCCAGCAGCAACATAGTGAAAACACAAAAATACAGCAAGCCCCCATCATGCTGATGAGATCTTGGCTATGCCTGCTGCTCACTGTCTGCAGAGTACATTTTATTTCATGCCCCACCTCTCCTGTGCAGCAGAGCATAAACTCTGCAGGGGAATATCTCACTTTCCTGGTTTTACATGGCATCACTTTGCAACAGGCACCCAATACAAATGGTAACAGAGACAGGCAAAAACTAGCAAGGAGGGCAGACTAAATACTCTGCAACTAGCAGTAGGCAGACAGAGTTGCCTAGCCATTTCCTCTCTTTTGCCAACACATTTGCACTCCGGTTAGTAGTAACCCAGGTCTCCCCGTGAGTAACTGTGTCACCTTCAGAACCACCAGAATCAGGGCAATCCCTGACCCAGGCTGACATTGCTTTGATTGCCTCCTCTCCTCTGGGTTTCCAAGCAGCAGCACAGAATCAGGGCAGCAGAAATGCTACAGGCTCTGCTTTCACTAGTGCCAATGGGCAGAGAAGTACTTCCAGTTGCCTTACTGCCCATGCACACTAGTATCCAAATGTCTCGTTGCTTCTACTGCATAGCACAAAAAGCAGGATGGTTTATTCCCTGCCTCCTATCAGACAACACCAGGCCATCCAATTTTACAGAAACAACCTCCACCATCTATTAGATTTTATGAGATCACGTTTCTTCTCTTCCAATGAAAGCATCAGCACAGCTGGCAGCATCTCAACCCCAGAACCAGAACTCAAAATTAAGGCTGGTGCTTAAATGAATGCCACATGTTCCTGCTGGAAGTCTCCCACCTGTGAAATGCCCCAACTCTACCTAATTTGGAGTCACAATAGCCAAAAGCTGGGACTCTCCTGCAAACCCCTTCTCCACAGCCTGAAGTGGATCAGCCATCCAGCATGTTGCTGGACCTACTGGGTCTGGCATTTTAGCCCATCCTACTTCTCTTTTCCCATTCAAAACAACACATGGAACAGAGAAAACTTTCCATGTAATTATTTAGTTAAAGCTGACAAAAAATCTAAGCAGATGAACTGTAACGAATCTACGTTTTTTTCATGCTGGTTCTTCCTTCCTATTTGCCTTATTCTGCAAAGATGATTCTTGTTATTTCAGGTTTCAGCTTGGCAAGGTGACCAGTTTGAGGTGAAGTGTCACATGCAATACATTCTTACTCCAGTTCATCCTGAACTCTGAACAACAGTAGAGAAATCCAAACCAAGTTCATTAAGGACAAAGATAAGCACTACTCTACAATCACAGCTAATCTTGAGTTTTATGTAACTTAAATGTTTTAGTTGTACAGCCATTCAAAACCACACACACCTCATTTTAATTCATCAGCTTTAACAGAAAAGAAATGTTTATTTTTACTCTTCTCAAACTTAAAACATCTTAATCCTTTCATCAAAATTAAAATTTCACTTTTGGCAGCAACTAAATATGGGATGTTTGAACCCAAAAGAAGGTACCTTCAGCTTCAAAAGACAAAGAAGGTGGTGAACAGGGTACATTTTGCTATGCTTGCAGGCATAAACCATGACTCTCACTTCTGACAACATGGACACCAACTTGAGAACAAAATATGGTATTAGGGTATTTATTCCAATGCCCTTTCCTTTATCAGGATTGTTATTCCTCAAAATGCTTCTTTTGAAGCAGAGCTAGCAGCAATTTTTGCCTCCTCTTTGCCATTCTTTTTTTAGGACCTTGAAGATGACCAAAAATTTCCTTCTCAAAGTCTCAAAAAAAAAAAAAAATCTCCTTTCTTGCTCCTTTGGTTTGTGGCAATGACCCAAAACCAAAACAACTTTCAGTTTGGATAAGCAAAAGCCCCAGAACTTAAAACACTGCTCTGCTTCCATCTTCTAGTTACTTGGGAAGTTTTGTTAGTTTTTTTTCCCATCTAAACAGAAGATGTTGTTGTCCTGTTGTATCATTTCTTCCTCTTCCCTTCTCCCACAAGAGGTCATTTGTGGAGTTTGTCTATAAAGAGGGCTCCACCTTCAGGAAGTAGACAGGAGAGGACATGTAAGCAATGGTCTATATTCCTCTGACTTCTCAAAGACCTTTCCTTGCCATGTGGGTATATGAGAGTATGACACAGGAGATCAGAAAGATTCCTTCTTTGACATCTCATACTGACACAGGGCAAAGCATGACTTAGGACCAAGGAATCCCTTCAAGCAGTTGGGATGAGGATGGACCTCTCCTGCAGAACTACATCTGGAAACACCTATCCACCTGAGGCATACTGACCTTTACAAGTGCTGGGCACAACAGCAACAATACAAGCTGGAACAGGAAGGGTCTACAGAGCAGACTCCAACACCATGACACTGAAGATGAAGCCAGTATTGGGCATTTAAATAAACTCTTAAGTCAGAAGAGGCTAGGAACAGTAAAAAACTAAAGGCAGATGATCCCATTCAGAGAGAAAAGAGCTTCTGAAAAACAGTATTTTCAACTAAGATATCAATAGTTGGTTTAAGAACTGTTTTAATATGACACATGGCAAAGCCATGGATACTTTTGTTATTTTGTTAGGCTACAAGAAGAGAATTTGGAAAAGGAAGAGCACTTGGGCATACCTGGCCTGAGCAAGTCATGTCTGTAGGAACTGAGTTTACTGCCCCACATTAAAAGTCAAGAAAGACTGAAGCTGAGAAATAGCTCTACTGGACAAGATGACCAGTTAGATGTTGGAATCTTTCCTGTTTGGCCACACTTACACACCTGGGGTGCCTACCAAGGTTTTATAGTCTGCATTTGGACACCTCAGATACCATGAGCATGAAAGGGTTTCCACAAGCCACAAACACCCTGTCCAAGCTGGCTGAGCTATCAGCTTGTTAAAGATGCAAAGCCAGATCCAAGGAAAAAAAGAAAGAGCCACTAAATACTTCAAGCAGATGTTTGTTCAGAAGTGTAGATAAATTAGATTATAGAAGGGAAAGAAAAGCAACACTCCTGCCATGGTTTCTCCAGGCATTCAATGGCACCTGATATTTTAGCTGTATTTTTACTTCTTTGGTTTGAATGTCAGTTTGATAAATGTGAAAGCAAGTCTTGCCAGGAGCAGGAACTAAATTTCATTTGTGCTTCTGGCTGAACAAACCCTGTGCACTTCAAGTTTTGAACACTGACATTTAAGTTGTACAGTAATTTGCAGATGAAAGCCAAGAGTGATATCATAACAAAGAGTTTTCTGGGGACAGAACCACCTCTGAGTATGAGCTCTGATGTTTCCAAGAGGCTAAAGTTGACATTGCAAGGAGACACCAGCCGAAGACCTTGTCCTCTTCCTAACTGATTCCAGACAAGGCTGCCACAGTGCCAGATGCTCTCTGGAAAGTATTTCTTGTTTCTCATTCCCGATGAGTGCACCATCTGCTGACAGCAAGGCTCTACCTTCTCCTGCTGGGCTGCTCCAGAGCTACCCTCTCCAAGTGCAGGGCTGGAAAGAGGAGCCCAGCCTCTTTCCTCTGAGAGTGAGGATGAGGAAAGAACACAAAGTGGAGGGATGATCTGTGCTTTTGTTATGCTTTGCTTCCTTTAAAAGGCAATTAATTTTAATAAAGCTGCTAGAAAAGAAAGCAGGAAAGCAAATATTGACAGCCAGAGTATGTATTTCTGCTTGGAAAGCTCTATACTGTTACCTGCAAGTGGATTGGCATTTATTGCCAAAGCTTGGGCAGGTCTGATGCAACTTCACTCAGGACAAAAAAACCCTGGTTTTCACTCCCAGCCCATCAGATGAACACATGGAGAAAAGGCCAAGCTATCAGTGAGTGCATCCTGCACTCGGCACAGGCTCTGCAGCTGCGCCAGCAGCAGCAGGACAAGGCAAGTGAGCACAGCCAGGTTGAGGCACAACTCTGCCAGGATGAACATGTGGCTGTGATCAGCAGAGGAAGGAGGAAGGAATCACTTCCTGCTCCTGCAGTTGTAGTTTGTAAGAAAATCAAACGTATCCAATTTCATTCAAGCATCAACCCATCAAGAGAGCGACTGAAAGGTCTGGAACCTGGACCCAAGTCCAATTTACTCAACC